GTTCCCCTGAGCCCTTTTCCGCAGGCTGACCTAGCAGAAATGCCCAGCGCTGGTCAGCATCACCAGAGCATCACACACTTGGACTACTTCCTTTTCTAGCACCTGAAGTTCTGTGGCACCTCATAAACTGGCCTTTTGGTCTTAATCTCAGAGGTACCATGCCTCCGCACTGCATAAATACAACGTTCAGTGAGCCAGTGAGGGCAGGAAGTCCTTGAAGCAGACTTACCTGTAAAAATCGATCCATGATGGCGACGCACATATACAGAGTTTCCTGCAGCAGCCTAAACTTGGAGTGGACTTGCACCAGCCAGTCCACCAGGATGGCGCGCATACGTCCGTTTATATCTCTCCCATCTAAGAAGTGTGGATTTATGGACTGCAGAACCTGTTGGTGGAATTAAAAGTTTAAGAGGCTGACCTCATCTCCTTCCCAGCTGTGTCGTCCATTCCACACTGCTTTACCACCAAAGCACAAAGGCCCACTTGCCTCAAGCTGCCTCAGGTACTGGTAGATATCCTTCACGTAGTCGCTGCAGAGCTGAGGGTTCTCCCAATCTTCATTATCGATATCCTCGATTTTGCAGAGCAAGGCGTCAGAGAAGGCCTGGCAGAGGTTCTCCTCCTTCATGGAGATATCCTCAGGGGCGGGAGAAGGGCGCTATATCCACAAATGAAAGCACGAGTGTCACTATTTATAGACGCAGCCTTGATTGCAAACACATGTAGGGCCAACCGGTTGAAAAGTAGCATATGCACTTTTATAAATGATAAAGCCAAAACAAATTTCACAGTGAGAGGTGAATAATTCAAGACGCAGCGGATGAAGCTCTTGGAGACATACTCCTGTTTAAAAATGCTCTTATTTCAGGGGAGAGGGTACAGCTCATGTGGTAAAGCGCATACTTAGCATGCATAGGTCCTGGGTTCAATCCTCAGTACCTCCTCTAAAAAGTAAAATAAATAAACCTAATCACCTCCCTACAGCAAAAAAAAAAAAAAAAAAAAAGTTAAAAAAATTTTTAAACAAAAAACAACACTCTAATTTCACTCAAAGTGAAAACCTGGGTCCTCACAATGGTGGACGGGCCCTGCACGACCCGGCCCTTCCCTCTTCCCCTGCTGACCCATCTCCTCCTTCTCTCCCCTCAGCTTGCTTCACCCCAGCTCCCTGCCTGGGGCTCCCTCACTGCAAGCACTGTCCCTCTTCCCAAAAGGCTACTGTCCCTGTGCCCGCATGGGTAATTCCCTCAACTGCGTCAAGGCTGGCTTCCATGTTACCTTCTCAGTGAGGTCTATCCTCACTCCTATTTAAAATTCCCACCTGCCTCCTAGTCTAACCACACGCTTCCTCTTACTCTGCTTTTCCCCAGAGATTCTATAAACTTCTAATACACCGTAGAAGTATATTATTCTAATACAATATGTGTATTACTTACCCTCTACCTCTGCAAGAACGTAAAATCTATAAGCTTACATTACTTTAAACTGATTTTAGTCCACTAAGGCATCTCAAATTCCTTGCCATCCCTGACACATAGTAGGTGCCCAATAAATATTTACTGAGTGAAAGAAACTTAGATGCCTAGGTACAGATTCCTAGAGCTGACAGTTCACTTTAGTAGCAGCCTCTTCTGCAAGTGGAACGTTGTCTTCTCGTCAACTAATTTATTCTCAATTGAAAAACTGTTTGGCAAAGAAAACACAGAAAAGCACATTCCTGCCTGTGAATCAAATACAAGGAGGAAGCAAAGACTAAGTACACACCCAGAATTTCATTTTCTTGTGCTGACTGGGTGGTTATTTATAAAAATCACATGAATTAAAAATGTATAAAACAAGTGTTTAGTAATGAAGTATAAATAAACTATCACTTTTTAAAAAAATAAGAGGTACTTCTCAAAGTAAAACCTAACAAGACTGCTAGGCTGTAAAGAATATGTATTAAAGTCATGACATATAGAAAGAGAAGGGAGTATAATAAACAATTTTGATTTACCTTAAAGCTCAATGATTATAGTTTCTAGTCTTAGAGAAGGATGAAACAGTAACAAAAACAACAGAACATACACACCGATTCAAAACATGCCCTTCCCTCTTAAATCAAAGGTCTTAAACCGAGGAAGTGCCAGGTGAGCAAGAAGCATGCACGTATCTCTCACTTATTCAAGAACTTAAGAACTTGTAGAAGGGGGCTAGAAGGAATGAGAAGAGCCACTTGGGGTACCAGGGAGAAACCTAGTAAGGTTACCAGACAGGGTAAGACCTCAAAGGAAATGAGTAGGCAAAAGTATGCAAGTCAAAGTCCCAGGGGAAGCCAAGAAACAAAGCAAGTCTGGGAAAAGCACGTTGACTTGGGACAGCGGGAGTAGCACGGGAGGTGTGAGAAAAGGGCTGGAAAGGCGAGCAAGAACCTGGCTAAGGAGTTTAGATTTTATCCGAAGTTAAGTGGCCCACTGGGGAACAGAGCAAGAATGACTAAAATCAGATGTGCTTTTTAGTAAAGTACAGGTAAGCTTCACTTTAAGGTTACCTATTTCGAGGATAAGCATCACCACTCTCCCCAGGAAGGGCAGTCAGTGCCAGGAAGCCTGGTTTAAGAAGGCAGAGGTTATCATTATGTGCTTCATGGACTGACTTAGCCCCTTGAAATGTTTACCTGTGTCTATTCAGAACTACACCCGAGTTTAGCCATATCCAAAAGCCACTAGGATAAGACAAGGATGACGGCTCTGGGCCTTGGTTTAGAATTTCTCAGCAGTATTCCTTTTGGACTTTAACATAATCTAATTATTCTAAGATCCCACTTGCTTGTGCAGATTGTAGCCTAAGCCCTGTGAGCTGGCTGTGCAGTCCTGTCCTGTGCCTGCTGCATGCAAAGGTAAAAAAGGCACCAGCTAGTGAACCATCACCAAAATGGTCCAAGAACGAAACCTTCAAATTAGATTAACGAATGAGTTCTGTGGGTTGTCAGAGACAACTGAACAGTCTCATCAGAAACAACGGAGACGCGAGATTGTGCTGCTGTTTGGAAGGGGGTGGGTGGAGAATGAGTAAAGGCTGCTGAAGTTGCAGCTCAGACATTCACCAAGTCAGGTGTCTTACAAGAACGGACTAATATGAATATGCAAATATATGGGTATTTACACAAGTTTTGGTAAAACACAGAGTTCCTTTATTTATGAAATTTGCAATAAACAATGTCAATTCAGTGCAATAAGGGAGGACTAAGAAAAACTGTCGATTCCAATCTGACACTTCACAATTTACAGCAGTGTGTACACATGCATTCACAGGTGTGCTCAGTGGTAAAGGCAAAATTAGTTACCATGATTAGCTTTAGGGAATGCCACCAGGTGGGATTTCGGCAGGAGGAGCAGTAACAGTGAACCGACCTTTTATTCTATGCACTCTTCTTATTTCATGTTGTTTTGCTTTTTTAGGACTATGTTTCTTGTGTAATTAAAAACAAAAGGCACTTTAAAAAAATGTGAACAGTTGTGCTTATTTCCTTCTATACATAGTTTCTGTATTAGGGAAAGTTGGGCCAGAAAAGATTCTTATACATGAATAATGACTATCACTAAATGTCATGTTTAAATCAAATCCCTAAATCTAAAACCTCATCGGAACTTCTAGCTGCCACTCCCCAGGATGTCTCCTAAGCGTGCATCTGCCTCTCCTACATGCTTTTACTCTGACGTCCGGACTTACTTAAGGGCTACCTGGGGATAGTCAGTGGTTCATTCACCTTGCTTCCTTGTGCCCATCAGTACAAGAAGCGAATGAAAAATAAACTTCTCCTTCCTTTCAAACTACTCAGTGTTTGCCAAAGCCTCATGAGTCAGCAAAAAGTTTTCTCCAAAAACTGTAGGATAATCAGCTTCTGCAAACACCTGTGAATGGCCGGCGCCCTTTCAGGGTCTCAGCCAGGGCCCTTCGCATTCCAGGTGCTCCCTCTGCTGCAGAGAAGGAAACCTGCCTTCCAGCTTTACAGAAAGGATGGTAACTATTCGGTTAGCAGTCTGCGAACATGTGTTTGCTTCCTGGGGTTTTCCAGGGCTCAGTGCTGCTAGAAATTCAGCACCCAACTGGCATTTCCATACCTCTGGGGGTTGGTTGTAAAGAAACAGCAATTACTCTGCAGACAGAGCAGATACAAAGTAAAAGCCAGAGGGCTGACCAGAGACAAGCCTGCAGAGGGGATCATCTGCCAGAGGGGGCTTCCCCAGAATTGTGGACTTACTGGTGTCTTCTGCACTATGTTTCTCAGAGAAAAGTGCATTTGATTGGAAATAGGTATGGCTCATTAATCCCTGATGTCTTCTAAAACAGGAAGCATGTTTCAACCACAGAAGTGATTTTTATATGAAATGAGCTGTAGGTCCATAATTTTTGAAATATACTGTCAGGAAGTGAGAGAAAAAGGAGTCAGTCAAGGCGATGGGGGAACTCAAAAGAGTGGAGTTGTCATGGTTATGGGAGGAAATTTCCCTTTTGTTTTGTTCATAACATTTTTTGTTTCTGTTTGTTTGTTTTTCTAATTTGCCTTTTTTCCCCAATTTGAACAGTAGTAAGAACCTATAATGAAAAGTTTGAACATTTTAAGGAAAAAAAGTGAAAATCAATCTTAAGTCCCACATAATACTCAAAAATAACTACCATCAATATTTTGCATATATATGCACACTTTTAAAAGTAATTCTCACAAGTTAATACTGTATAGCACAGGGGACTAAATTCAATATCTTGTAGTAACTTGTGAAAAATATGAAATCGAATATATGTATATTCCTACATGATGAAGTATTGTGCTGTACACCAGAAATTGACACATTGTAAACTGATTATACTTCAATAAAAATATATTTAAAAAAAGTAAATCTAGGGTTGTACTGCATTATATTGTTATAATCTGATTTTTCCATTAATGTAACATCCATTTTGGTATCTTTAAATATTCTACTGAAACATGATATTTATGGTTGCATAGTATTTCATTAAATGGATTTAACTGACCTCCTGATATAAAATATAGAATAAGAGGTATTCATTATAACTGTTTAAAGGTCCTTGACTGTCCCACTGATCATTATCTTACGCTAAATTTTAAAAACAGCCTTACTGGGTATGGAGAATAACCATCTGAAATATACTGCCAAGCCACTCTCCTGACATGTGGGAGGAAGCACGCTCAACCACTCATATAAAATGCTGTATAATGGTCAAGAGATCAAGGTCTGAAAAGCTGCTTTGGGTTTGTTATTTGGGAGGTCACTAGAAACTTCCAGGGCAGGTCCTATCAAAGGAAAGTAGATCTTGAGGATTTGTTCTGAGATTTAGTTCTGGAATCAAAGCTTTTTTCTCCTGTCTTATAAACAACATGTTTGCAACCATTACCTCTAAGTAGAAAGCATGCAAATCTGTTCCTCTCTTTCAGAAGTTGCTGGCCCATTTCCAACTGCATTCCCCAACAGCTGTCTCTGTCATCTCAACAAATCTAAAGCCAAATGAGACACCTTCCATAAAGCTACCTCACTCTGCTGAATTTCCTATATTTTATTAATTTATTCCATAAATAGTTTCTTAAATACTCAAGTACTTAAGGGTCTCACTCCTCTACACCAAGCAACATATCCAAAAAATTCCTTCTGAACACAGGATGATGTCCCTGAAAGGAGTTCTGGCACATCCTAACACCGTCAGCAGTATTTCTTAGTACCCATATAGATCCTGGTATATGCGTAAGCACTTAGGGGAGATCTGGGCTGGTTCAAGGCACCCATCGGCCTTGCTTGTAATACGTCCTACTTAATGCCCCTTCCCTGGCCACCCTACCCTGCTTTCATCACTTCTC